TTGGACTCTGGGTTGCTTTGACTCAGAATTCACTCAGTGGATTTGAGGTTTTGTCCTCATTTGGATGTATGATACACATTTAGTAAAGGCCTTTTCATTCCTATGTGCTGTTCTCCCAGGGCAGCACCTCCTACGCCTGACATCTGATCAGAGGCCAAGACACACACAGGCAGCAGTTTCTCAGTCACTGCTTTATACCCATCTCCCGGACTGCCCCTGGGTTAGGAAGCAGCAGGTCCTGCCTATCCACAGCAGTTACCTCTTCTAGTGGTGGGACTCCAATAGGAAAACCCCGTGCACGGTGCGTGGCCGCCTCCTAGGTGACATGTGAGCAACATGACTTTCGAACGCATACAAAATCACAGGAAAGCAAGAGTGGTGAAGAAGTGAATTAATGGCTCTTCTAGCCATTTTTCTATCACTCCTTCCAAATGACTGGTGGCAGCATGCAAATAAGGCATAGAGCACTCTAACTGGAGGATGGATCAGTTTTGCCATTCCTTTGAGTAGAAGTGAGCCAATCAAAAGCTGGAACAGTGCGAGTCCCACGACCAAGAAAACCGAGCCAACAGTGGGGCACAATCCAGATCCCTGCCTGAAGTGACAGAGGCAGGAAAGGCCGGGGTCTGGGGACCCTAAGACTGAGCAGAGGAGCCATGTCACTGAGGCAGAGCAGCAGGTGGGCTTCCTGGCCCAAGGAGGAAGAGGCCAAGGGACAGCATGACTGTGGGGCTGAAGACCGGAGCCCTGGCTGTGTTTTGAGAAGAAGCGCGCTATGGACCAAAGATTGTGTCCTCAGTGTTTTCCGATTGTCACCTGTTAACTTCCCTAATAGCGACCCATATATCCGAGAAGCACAAAAGTTGTCTGAATAGCATCAAAGAAAGGAGGGTGGGGTATGTCTGACCTCTTCCTTGAGGCAGTCAGCCTTGAGCCACTGTGGAATTGGATACTCCTTCGCCCTACAGAAGCTGGAGGAGTCAACAGAGATTTGGGAAAACAATGGAGATATTGTGTTGCCATCCTGAAGACGCTGGGTACAGAAAGGTCTCTCAAGTGGGTAATCTAACATATTGTACATATGTGGATACACACTGTACCAGGAGGTTTCTTTCAAAAAGTTCACAGACAGATCCTAAGGTCGGTACCACTGCTTTGTGAAAAGGTGCCCCTCACACTCACTCTGCATGAGTCCTAAATAAGAAGATTACTCCTCTGGGAATAAACTTAAGGACAGAGGTGGAATGGAGTGGAGGTGAGAACATTCCAAAGAAGGGTAGTTTGGTTTAAGAGAAACAAAGTTTCCCTGTGGAAAGAGACACAAGGGAGCGGCGGCCTTACAAAGTATTGGAAGAACAAGTGTCACCTCACTTAAGGCGGTCTTAGCAGGAACAGGAAACGTAGGTGGTGAGGAACAAGGGGGGTTGGAGGGAATCTCTGGTGGAGCACTCGTTACCTGCTGGGCTGGTAACCACAAGGTCAGCAGTTTGATAGCACCAGCCACTCTGCGAGAGAAAGATGAGGCTTTCTACTCCGTTAATAGCCACGGTCTCAGAAGCCCCACAGGCACAGTTCTGATCTGTTCTATAGGGTCACTATGAGTCAGAATGGGCTCGATGGCATTGACTTTGGAGTTTGAAAGATGGAACCTTTAAGGAGGGGATGGGGAGAGGGGAGAGAAGGGGATGGTGGCGAGATAATTGTTAGGGGATGAAAGAGGGGAAGCCCCTTCCACGTGGATCCGTGTTAGGAGACAGGATGGAAGTGGTGAAGAAGTGGTAAAGAAAGGGACAGAAGCTTCCGTCCTTCCCCCCGAGACCTCACTAAGGAACGGAGCCCGTGGAGGCAGGAAGCCCAGGTGATGCGGGTGTTCTCCGGGAGGAGGCTAGGGGCAGGAGCCACAGACTGCTGTCCCAGGAGGGCGCTATTCTGATGAGCGGGAGAAAGGCGAAGGGGCAGCCTTTGGGGAGTCAGGAAGCGAGTGCAGACTCGGTGCGGAAGCCCGGGGCGGTGGGCCGGGCAGGACTTGGGACTCGGCGGCGGTCGGCAGGCCCGGCCGCGGGTGGGCGCGGAGTGAGGAGCTGCGGGGCGTGCTCCCCGGCGGGGGCGGGGCGGCTTTCCCAGCAGCGGCGTGAGGCTGGGCCGGCCGGCGGAGTCGGCACGCTGCCCTCCGCGCTGCCCTCCCTCTCGCCAGCCTCTACCTGTCGGCGCCGCCTCTCTGTCTTCCGAGTCGCTGGCCCGGCCTCCCAGCGTCTACCCGCAGGTTGTCAAGCGTCCATGGTCGGCCCGGCGTCCGGCGCTTTTATGCCTCCGCCAACCCGTTGCTAGTGCCGTTCCCCCCCGGAAGCCTCCTCCTGCCGCACCTGAGTTCCGCCCACACGAGGTTCCCCCGCCGCGTTCGCCGCCAGGGGCCTCTGGGAGAGCCTGGGGGGACAGAGCAGGAAGGGGCGGGGCTGGAGCCCGGAACTGGGTGGGGAGGAATCCAGGAGGGGCCACCTCCGGAGGCCTGGTACCTGAGCCACCGCGATTACCAGCCTGGGCTGGAAATCCACCCCTTTGGCTATGTTTCATTCGTTAGGCGCGCCCTATGGCCATTAGGACCACATTCTGAATAGGAGTCCGGCTTACGTGTTGGGCTGCTAACCTCAAGGTCAGCCGTTCAAAACCAACAGCTGCTCCATGGATGAAACGAGTCATTCTACTCCCACAAGAGAGAGACAGTGGAAACCCACAGGCAGTCCTATAGGGTCACCATCGGAATCGACTCGATGGCAGTGAATGTCCATCCCCCACCCCACCCCCCAAGTATCAGGAAGCTATCTGGTTACAATTTGGGGCTACTAACCTCAGAGTCATGAATTCATCAGCTCCTCCCATGAGGCTGTCTTTTTCCACAAAGATTTGAAGTCTCAGAAACTAACTCTTGGGTCACTGTGAACCAGAATTGACTCAATTACAATGGAATTTGGGGTTTTAATATTATTCGATGACCTGCAATATTAGCACCATTTGTGCAAGTGAGTTAATTAAGCTTCAAAGCTAAAACTTAGTAAATGGCACAGCTGGCACTGGAGTTCAGCTCTCAACTTCTATTCAGAAAATATCTTAGCATGAAGCAGTGGTGAGCTGAGCCAACAATGGCCGTGTGGCCACAATGTTGCTGAAGGAGCTGCGCTTAGAGCTCCAGCTCCTGGGGAGACAGCTAAGTAGTGGCATGCCAGTGAACATTTCGGGTCCAGAGGAAAAGAACCCTCTGAGGCTAGGTGTTTGGCGGGACTCACATATCTCAGCATCTAGATCACTTGCTGGGTGCATACAATTTAGGGTGCCTGAAAATGCCGTAAGTATAGGAACCAGGAATCATCGTGATACAGGTAGCATCCAAGTACTGTGCCAAGCCATCACCCCCAAGTCAATTCAAGCTCACAGCAATTCTAAAGGGCCAAGCAGAGCTGATCCACGGGGTTTCTTCCCAGACTGTAAATCTTCCCAGAAGTAGACTGCATTATTCTCTGATGGTGGAGTGGCTGGGCAGTTCACACCGACTTCTTAATTAGCCAAGCACTGAAAACATTCCTCTCACCCAAAAACAATCACACTCACTGCCAACGAGTCAATTCTGACTCATAACAACCCTACAGATGGGGTAGAACTGTAACCAAGACTATAACTCTTTATAGCAGTAAAGAGCTCTTTCTCCCACAGAACGGCTGGTGGTTTCAAACTGCAGACTTTGAGGATCGAAGTTCAATGTGTAACCACACCACCAGGGCTCCTGTAGGGCTCCTTAAATAAGGCTCCAAAACAATCTTATATAGGTTTTCCAAGGCTGTAAATCTTTATGGGCGTAGACAGCCTAATGATTTGAACTGCCAACCTTGCCGTTAACAATCAAATGCCTAGCCCATGGTGCTACCAGGGCTCCTTACATAACATACCAGCCAACCAACCAACTTATTGCCATCAAGGTGGGTTGGAACTGCTGACCCTGTGGTTAGCAGCCCGATGCATAACGTACTCCACCACTAGGGTTCCTCTTAACACAAAAAAACAAAATACTGCCAAGGAGTCGATGCTGATTCAGAGAACCCCTGTAACTGTTTATGGTAGTTAGTAGAAAGCCCAGTCTTTCTCTCTCAGAGCTATTAGTGGCTTCGAACTGCCAACCATGAAGATCACAGCCCAACTCATAACCCCGACACCATCAGGGCTCCTAAATAATACACAGGGAGCCAGAAATACTCTATTCCAGTTTAAAAAACAATGCCAAGAGTCAAAAGTTTTTATAGTCTGACCCTTATGATATACCATCTCCTATAATAAATACCCTGTAAGGACAGGAGTGTTTGGTACACACCCATTCTTCCAGGTCAGACAATGATACAGCTTCCTCAGATGGCTGCACGCACCTTCAGTGGGAAGGAGCTGCCCAGTAAACCCCAGGAGAGGAAAATGCAGGTGGGCATTATATGTCCCGTGGACATATAAAAGTACCAATTAGTTAAGTGCTGTGAAAGTGAGCTGGCTATGCTTTGGGAGCTGAGACAGTTAAAGTTTATTGTGCCAACGTGGCCAATAAAC